CAAGAGCCCCAGCCCCTGTCTTCTTTTCACTCCCCAGCGCAAGGTGGATATATATTACTTAGCACTGCTGCGTTAAAAATATGATTGTCAGCCTCTGTAATTTTCCAGTGACAGCTCGAAAAGAAACAGCTGAGCCACAGAGCTCCAGCTCCACATGCCATCTATTTCTACTGTCAGCTCCAGAGAGATCTTAATTATAATGGCTTTTGGTGCTCATTCCTTCCTAATGCTGTAACAGGGAGATGATTGCAGCCGTAAATGAGCGATCAGTCTATTCCCTGCTGGGTAGTAAAACTGGTTGTCAGGCTGGGGAGGGACGGCACGCAAGAAACTGCTCCCCAGTTACAGTTCATGTTGCACACTCGAGATAAAATTGAATTTGGCTTACTCATAGCTGCAAGTTACAGGGCACAAGGTGGTAATTGCCCCAGGAATGGAGAGGGAGCACGAGGTTTAATTGGCTGCGGAGTCTGGAAACAGCAAGGATCAATTTTGCATCGGTTATAAATACGGATGATGAGCCTGGCCCCGAGTCTCCGGCTTTGCAGGCACTGGCTCAGTGTTGCTGCTGCCTTATCACCCCTCCTCAGAGCTCAGGAGCAGCTGCACAGACCCAGCAATTCAACTTATTTGCTTTGCCCAAATGAAGACAAATTACAGCCAGGGCAAAGATTTCCAATGGATGTCAGAGAGTTTAGGACTCTGCCCGCCTGCACAAGTGAAACCCAGGGGACCTGTGGGACCACGTCCCCTCGCTCTGGAGGGTAAAGGACCCTACCCTGCCACACACCCCTCGTACAGGGAAGCGCAGAGAAAACCCCACTAAATGCCATTCCCAAATACATTAGCTGCCTTCAAAATTAAAACACACTTTAAAAAGACATTTTAAAAGAGCTGTATTATTCACTGGCCTAGACTGAAAGTCCGACTGTGGAATTTCCTATGCAAAAACAGCAGCTCAGGTTAGAATTTATTTATGAAAATAAAGCACACAAACCTCTCCAAAATGATCCACCTACCCCCTGCTTGCATGCTGCTTTGGAAATACCTCACCAAGGTACAGAACCGGGGCTGCTGCTTCTTTGGCTGTGCTGTATCCTGCACTGCCAGATCCTACTCCGTTCATGTTGCAAACTAAAAGCCATTTACTCTGTACAGAAAATTACTAAGTGCACGTTCATATGGTAATTAGACCCGATGAGAACTGAAGCCGTCTCCACCCTCAGCTGCCCAAGGAAAACCAGGCTCCCACGTTTTTCTGGCGGTTTTCTTTGGAGCTGAGGCGTCATCCTCACTGAGAGGAGATAGAAACATAGGTGAACGTGAAGCCATCCCTGGGAAATCACCCAAGCTAAAACCAGCAGCTTAATTACTGCTCATCACGGTGGAATTATTTTTCAGATGGTAGAAAGAGAGTATTTGAATTACAGGAAAAATACATTATTATTGGATTAAGTGTTAGGACAGGTCAACTTTGGATAAACCAATTCCTGGCCTGTGGAATATTTCACATTCCTGGAAAAATATGGCCTTGGTGAAAAAGGATCTCAGTCTGAACAGGCAGCCCCGGGTAATCTGTGCAACAACATCTCATGGCCAGGAACAGCTGCATGAACCAGAAATTGGCACCTTTTCCCTTATTATATACATGGGTGCATGCACACACACGTGCACAAAGGGAGGGATAACTCACAAGGACCAACAAGTGCTTATTGAGGACATTTTCAAAACTGAAGGCCACCCCTCAGAGATCTCCCATTTGCCCTGAGCTGCTGCTTTCCATCTCCCTGGACAAGTAGTGGGTGGCAGAGAGAGCAGCAAGCCCCCAGCCTGACTATGCCAGCACTACAGATGAGGGAGCACCCACTACCCACTGCCCTCCAAGGACAACCTTGTGGCATCCAGCACCTCATTTTTCAGCCCATCCTAGCTCCCCATTTTGGCTTGTTTTGCTAATTTTAATTAGCTGAGAGTAGACTCTATAAAACTAGCACAAATATATTTTATCTGTGGTATTACAGGAGATGTGGGGGAGCAACATACGCTTATATACCAAAAAGTCTCCAGTCTGCCAAGTCTGTTTTGCCTAAATAAACCCCAAAGTTTATATGTCTCTTAATCCGCTGGTTAGCTTCAAGTCCCCAGGGTCTGCTGGGAAACCAGCATTTACTGAAGTTTTACCCAGACCTACCAGGCCATCCAGCAAACCCAAACACTCAAGATTTAAAGAGGAAAACAGGGATTTAAAGAGGGAATGGGGCCGTCTGCCCTGAGTGGGGCTTTACTGCTCTTCACCCTGAGATTTGGAGGGAGAAAAGTGCCTGTGGTGCACGCCTCTTCCTGCCACACACTCGTCCCCTTGCCTGATCTGGTGCCAGGTTTATTGCCTTCACGGGAAGGCTGCTATCTAAGCAATAAAATGATTTGCAAAAATCTTCAAAAGCTTATAAAAGGAGTGATTGATGTGCTCATCTGCCAGGCCCTTCCTGCCTCTAGAAGTCTGGCTCATAATCACAGCATCTCAAAAAAAAAAAAAAAAAAATTAAAATAAATCTGTAAATACTCCAGTTGATTTTTTCACAGCTCTTTCTGCTGGCACCCACAGCATACAAAACCTGCGGCAGTGTGCGAAGCCTCCCCGGTCAGGCAGCCCCCCGCAAATTAATTCATTAGCAAACATGCACCTTCCTTCCCTGCAGCCCCATCATCACCAGCTGGATGTGTCCTCTCCTGCTCTCCCAGCCAGAAGAAGGGAGCCCAGGAGATGTTTATTGTTCATCTTTGCTCTATCCTGCATCACCCAGGTGCTCCTACAAGGGAGGGGGATATGGTGCTGGGCTGGTTTGATTTTTGCCAATGCTGGTCACAGCTGATTGAAGCAATTTTACAGCTGAAAAGAAAGCTGTGAAGACTTCTTACAGGTCATGGGTGGCAGAGCAAGCTAGCCACACTGCTGCTATTTGTGCTTCAGGGCTGCCACAGATTTATATCTGTGTCATTATATATTGTTTAAAAAAAAAAAAAAAAAAAAAAAACAAAGTCAGAAGATCGCTGACTCAAGCACTGAAAGTCCCTGAACAGCCTCTGCTTGTGCAGATTTAGACTCAACCCCAGCCAACCAAAAAGAATAATTATTTCTCCGCTCCACTGTGCTATTTAAGGAATGATGAAGTACAAAGACACTGAATTATGCACAGAAGAGTTATGCTCACGCACAGCAAGGTAGCAGCCACCGAAGATAAATAAAGTGGATGCAAGTGCTCCTGTGCCCGACCCCGGTCTCCCCAGTGACTTTGTTGGATTCCCATAGAAAATCTAGTCTGGATGGGGCAGCAGTTTCCAAGGTGCCCTGCTCCACCAACCCCTGGCCCAGGCAGGAACCGGCACCAGGTACCACAGCAGTGCTGTAGGGATTGCAGCAGGCAAGGACAGCTCTGGCCACCAGAACAGGACAGGCCAAGGACTAATCTTGTCCCCTGAATGTTTCTAGCACGAAAAATAGCCCTGTCCCTGTAAGCACTCCCATCCCTGCAGCAGTGACAGCCCAGAGGGAGGGGGGACGTCGCCATACTCTTGTCCCTCAGCACAGGGACAGGCCCCTGGTGTCTGGAGCTGCAGGTTGATGCCACAGCAGGGCTGCTCCTGCCCCTGCACAAACCTTCAGTGACAAGGCAAGGCCTGACTGTGGTCACCATTCAGTTCATTGTATTTCCTACCAAACAAGAAATGACCCAACCGCAGCATAATGTGATGGGCAAAACCTCTGATGTGGCCGTGCATGAGCACCCCTCCTCCAGCCACGGCCCAAGACGGCATCCTTCCCCCCCAGCCCCTGCCTTGGACCAGGTCGCTCTGGGTGAACTGGGCTGCATCCCTCAGCAAAGTGCTGACCTTGGTCTGAAAAGCCCCGGGGGCTGCTCTACAGGGTGGGCAATTGCCACCCAGGCTGTGTCATGAGCCATCTCTGTGCACCCATTTTCAGCCTGGAGACTGTTTCTCTCCAAAACATCTTCATCTTTCCCCATGCAGATTTTGTCCATAGCCTCGTACCCCCGGGGCAGGCACCAGGCACAGGGTGGGCACAGCTGACAAGCAGCACAAGGGAAAGCAAATAAAACATTTTTCAATGGGATGGGATTTGCCCAAAGCCAAGACACTGCCACATTTCCAACAGCCCTTTGGGATGTGCCCAGCAATGGCTGGGACTTTGCTGCACAAAAAGAGCATTCAAATCCCTTCTTTTTCTTTTATTATTGGTCCTACAGTACTTTATGGATCATCATTGGTTTCCTCATCTTCTCATAATTTATAAAAACAGTCTGTCACTATACTTGGCTTCACCTCAAGTCCTGTAAATCAAGGTATTTAATTAAACATAGCAATTTACCAGCTCTCAGCCCAATTCATAAGAAACTCACGCATCATTTGAGTGGGATTTTCATATACTTCACTTGGAAAAAGTACAGAGATGACTTCAGCAGAACAAAATACATTTTTTTTGGCAACTCACAAAACCACTTTTGCTCAGTTGCAAGCACATTACTGCTTTTCCATCACCTGCCCAGGGGCTATCCAACACGTCCTGGGGAAAGCCATCACCCAAATGGTCCCCTGTGCAGGGACACGGGCTCGAGACAGGAGAGCACATGGGGGGATGCAGCTGGGGGTGGCAGGGTTTGGGGCAGGAAGATGGAGGTGTGATGGGTGGGAGGCCACGGGGAAAATCCAGCATCGCAAAGAGCTTTTGCCTCTCTGATGGTCCTGGGGACCATGTTTCAATCATGGGAAAAGCACCCATGGGAGGTTGCACGTTATTTGACTCCAGAGGCTCTGACCTTGGGACCTGAGCCATAGGGGACCTTTTCAGGAAAGGGGGTCTGCAGGAAGGTACATTGAAATGTTGGAGGCAAAATATCTAAAAGCGCTCCACAGTTTCTACATCTTGATTTGAACAACAATAATGCTATTTTACCAATAAAGTCACTAACAACCATTGCTACCTGGAACCTGCCCAGCACCTTGCCTGTCCTTGTGCTTCTGGGTATGCAGGTGCTGATTCCTGGATGGGTTCACTGGCCACATGGACAACCACAGAGATGCCACAAAAAGTCCTAAAAATTAAAAAAGCAAAATAAAAGTTGGAACTTGCTTTAAAATCCAACTTGGATCTTTAGGGAAAAAAAATACCCACACAACTTATTTTTTTAAAAAAAGTTTTTAATATTTGTTACTCTTTTTCTCAAGGAGAAGTAGCCTCCCATGCTTCAGCGAGCCCAGCGCTTTGCAGTGCTCGTGCATCATGCTGTGCCACAACCTCGGCACCCGCCGGCAAACCCTGCTCTGCCCTTCGGAGCCGGATCAGTCCCTTTAACAAGTACAAGATTTCTCGCTCAAACAGCATTTCAAACCAGAGATCTGAGCAATAACGCAAACACAACACATGCAACCACTTAGAAGTCAATTAATATCAGCGGAAGGCCCCTTGTTGAAGGCAGCAGAAGGAACGATGTTACATTTCCGGAATAATGGCTGAAATTTGCCATTGTGTGTCATCAGGAATCATTTAAAACAGTTTTGATCTAAGTTCTTTCTGTCAGGGCTTTAATGAATTAACAGATGACAGATTGCCGTAATGAGAGTCTCTGCTTTAAAGACAAGGCTACATTGTTTTTTGCTGTACTACTCGTATAATTTGGGATGTTTAAAAATAATTACGGCGGAAGATTAATACCTTACAAGTCTTCAGACATTTCTCACACGCAGTGGAGAGCCGAGCCTGCCTTTTGCACCGTTTTTTGGGACATGGGTGGGAGAGGAGCAACACCCTTTTACCCCAAAAAACATCATTTCACCCCACACGCTGAGATCTGTGGTTGTAAATGGAAATAAACCCCATAATTCTGGTCCTGTGTTCCCGCAGAGAGCACTTTCACCCCAAAACCTAGCAGGCCCTTTGGGACAAGCCCCTGTGTCCCTGCCTCAGGGAGGTGGGCAGTAACGTGGGGTTTAGGCAGGGACTGAAAAGCACCCAGCCCAGGGAGCTGGGGTAAAAATAAGGTAAAAGCCACTAACTGGAGCAGGCGCGTCCCCCGGTTTGTGCCGCATTCCCCGTACTCATTAGCTTGGTTGCTGGATCACATTTTTCTGCTGTGCAAAGGGACCACAAAGGCATATTATATCCAATGTTAAGTAAACAAACTTTTGAAAACTGCCTTTTATTGATTCCATACGGCCATCTGGTTTGAAGGAAAGGCTCCCTCCCTCTTCCCCCTCCCTGTGAAAATATTCGAAGGTTAGGGACTGGCAGCGGCTCAGCATGGCTGAAAACCACCTAGTTTCCTTTGCGGTTAACAACACAGGAAAACGTCTAACTTTCAGATAAATGTTGGAGGCTTATTTGGTTTACCCATCTGGTAGCCAGCCTGTTCTGCGAAAATTAAAGATATACATATGCAAATATTCACAGTCTGCTTCCAAGATCTAAAGAATTTTTATGATGTAACCACAAAAAGAGGTTATTTAATGTTGACAATATGTAGCAGAGCAAAGCACTATAATGCTGCATATGGTAATGTAACTTATGAAAATGAAGCCGCAGTGCCCTTACAGAGTAATGAAAAGCAGATTTCACCTTGAAGACTATTTGAGCTGCTTAGCTTGTAATGACTTGAAAAAAAAAAGAAACCAAACCCCAACAAAAAAAACCCAAAAAACATTGGTGTGAAAATACAACTTGCCCCACAGCCACGTGGATCCCAGCCAGGGGCGGGTGTGCCAGCCCTGAACCAGGGACGTGCCACCATCCTGCCGGGGATGTCTGATGCGCAGGCAGGGCACAACAAACCCCCCCAGTGATGCTGATGCCAACAGAGCCCTGCCTTCCCACGCTGCAGCCCCACACATGCCTCCAAACACCATGGGCAGGAGAATGTGTCCCTTATCCCCGTCAGCAGTCCTGAGGGGACAGAAATAATGATTCTGGGTCGAGGGATGTGGGAAGGATTGCACCCTTCAGATCCCAAGGGAGGAAGGGCACCCACAGCAGGTCCTGCTCCATCACCATGGGGTGGAGGTGGTGGGAGCTGCACATCCACCTTCCCCATCGCAAAGTGGGGCTCGCTATGCCCTGCCAGGAGTTGGGTACTGCACAGTTGAGAGCCCCCCACCCAAGGGGGCACAGCCTGGCTACCAGCCCCTCCATGATGGGCACACACCACTCGGACACTGGCATCCTCCAAACTGAGAGGGACAGTGATGCTGCGTCCCCCAACCACTGGCCCACCTTTAGCCAGGCAAGTGGTTGAGGTGTGCAGGGAAGCCCCCCACCACCCCACCATCATGGTCCAGCTGCATCAGCTGTACGAAACAGGTTACCTCCACAATTCAGCAGAAACATCAACCAAGCCGTGGAAAAGACTCTCTGAGCCAGACCCCATCCACGATGCTGCTTTGCATGTAGAGAAGACTTATTGCTACTGCTAAAATTAATTATGTCCTCCTTCCGTAACGAGCACCTTTGTATATTATGCAAGCGCTTTGCCTGTCATCAACAGCCTCAGAGAAAGAGAAAGATGTTTGAATTAACAAAATATTACTGTGATCTTCTCCCTGACAGTATGGAAGCAATAATATTTAGTGAGTAACCGAGTTTCCTTTAATAATTTAGTAGACTGCAAAAACCTTGATCATCCAGCTGACTCTGAGAACAAAATAGTCAAGCTTTGTGCATCCTAAGCTGAGATAAAAATGCGAGCAGAAGAAAGAAGTTTAAAATTATATTTTAAAAAGCTAATTAAAAACGCAGCCCACATGCAAGAAAGAGGCCAAGGAAACTGTTCTTTAAAGCAAGCGAAGCCACAGGTTTCCCTATTTCCCTGTTTCATCTGCGAGAACAGAGCAGAGGGATGTCGGCGAGCTGCCCTCCTCCCAGCTCTCTGTGGGTGCACAGGGGAAGGGGAAGCAGGAGACACCTTGACTGGCTGCACCCCAGGACATGTTCCTGAGACAGCCCCCCGGGTCATTCAGTGACATGCGAGAGGACACCAGGGTTGTGCCAAGCTCAGCACCAGGCAGGTACCATCCTTGGTGAAAGTGTGAGAGTGGAGAAACCCCCCAGCCAAGGGGCTGCACACCTGCAGACCCCTCCGGGAAGTGCTTGTAGGAGCATGGGGAGGAGACCTCCCCACACCTCAACCAGCTCCATGGGACAGCACGGGCCAGTGGAGGGAAGGACCCTTCCCAGGGTGATAAATAAAGCACCTGGCCAAGGTTTTTGACAAAAAGAGTCTTCAATAGCCCTCCTGTGCCCTCAGAGTAAGCCACTAGTCCCTACCTGTTTGTCCAGCTCCTCTGTCCCTGTCTGGCTCCCTGAAGACTGCAGGAGCACAAGGGGGTCGCTACCAGCAGAGCCACAGTGGTAGCAGGATGTCTAGTGAGGACTTCTGAGTCACAGCGAGATGCCAAGCTTCAAACTTGGTTGTTGTACAACTCGATATACCCAATCTCGTGCCCCAGGACCAATTGGTGGAGTGTGCAAGAGAAGGGACGAGCATCTGCAATGCTGCAAAACCCTTGGCTGGAGCTGGCCCAGCCAGCATTGGCCCAGAACAGCAAGAACAGAAAGATGCGGGTGCCCCATGAGCACCCATCACCCTCCAGTTCTGCGTTTCTCCAGCTCACCAGCAGCAAACCGGTGAGGTGGACCAGAGACCAGTTGGTACAGCAGCTTGGGCAGGAGGAACCTGAGGAGGACTCTGATCAGCTTGGCACCATCCTGGAGTCAGGCACGAGCCTGTGGATCCCAGCACCCCCACAACCAGCACCAGACAGACTTAATTTTTGTTGTTGCTCTTGTCATTAAGAGCCTGGGTTTCTCCTGGGAGCCCCCAGTCATTGAGGCAAATAATTTGACACAACACATTTTTGAGCATCATTGTTGGAAGCTACAGATATTCCCAGCTCAGGGCTGGTGAAGCACAGGGGCTTGGCAATCTCCATCATGAGAAGGAGCTGTCAGGGAGCCTTGTGGAGGGAATTTTGGAAAAAAACAAGAAAGCAAAAAAACCTCAGCTTCTCTGACAGGGCCAGAACTATTAAAAGAGCACTTAGGCCCCTTAACATAAAAATGCATCAAAGAAGAAAACCAGATGAGTACAGATTCATTTGCCTTGGAGAAATCCTGGCTCTCTGATATGCTGCCTTCCTCCACAGCAAAGGTTCAGTGCGGATTGAAATGCCTTTGGGCAGCAGAGCTGTTTTGTCTAAGGCGTGTATTTGCAGAGGGCATTTTAACGAGCAGCCTCTCCAGAGGGGCTCCACCACTGCTCCCTTCCCTCTCATTGGCATGCAGAGCAAAAAAGCCCCCGAATCCACAGTAATGAAAACTAGATTCCTTTTTAGATAAACACTCTATATCAATGACAGAAAGATGAACCAAAGCTACATCAATGTCAGAGCATCAAAGAGCTCAAGATCAGGCTTCAGACCTGCTAACAACACCATCCGCTGCCTGCCGGCACCTCCACAGGCTGGGCAAAGACCGGCCCTGCTGGGACATCTCGAGGACTCCTCTGCAGGCAAATACTTGGGTGGTCGTCACTTTGCAAGGTCACAGGACACTGCAGGAGGCCACAGCTTGCTCTACGGACATCACAGGACGTCCCAGCCACAGACAAGTTGCCAACCCTGGTGAAAGCACCGAGGAGCTCGGGAGCATCCAAGCCTGGCTGGAGCAGCACAGACCCCAAGAGCTGTCTGGTGCTGAGCACTCCCATCTCCCACGGCACACCAAGGCAACAAAAGCCCCAAGGACATATCCTGCTTCAGTGGGAGTTAATGCTTCAAACTCCAACACGTGCCTTTTGGTTTGGAAGAGCTCTGGACCAGGAGGACACAGAAGACCTGGCCCCACCAGGTCTTCTCCAAGCTCTGGGACAGGCTGTGTGACAACCAGCACCATGGCAGCTTCAGTCCTGGCCCTGCTCACCTCTCCCAGCACAGGGAGATGCAAAACCAGCATGTCATGCCTTGAATTACAAATAAAGCAAAGCACTCCAAGAAGAGCCTCAGGGATGAGGTTAGTGAGGCGGGTAGTAAAGACCATCCACCGCCT